CCACGAGCACATGTAAATGTTCCTCACAGTGTGTAAAATCAAACTCGCTCCTCTAACTCTGGTGGTACTGGCGATAAGATTTTAGTTTTTCATGGGTCATATTATTATGAGTAAAACGAATTGAATAATTTAAATACATTTTAAAATTTAATTGGTACACCCTATATATTTTTAATTTTTGATTTTACACCATTACACCGGCTACTGACAATTTGCACGAGGTTAATCAAAGAAATAATAATTATTAATTAACAGATATGCTAACCTACTAGAAAAAATCAAAATCAAGAAGAAAATTTCTTTTATTAAACCGAAAATTAGCAAATGATTGTAGTCATTTGAAAGACATATAGGGCGCTTTGAAATACCCACTGCGTATCCATTTTAAAAAATTGACTTCACCGTGTAAAACATTCTAACATTATTTAAAGTAATAGTTATTAGATAAAATAGGGAAAATGAATGTTTGTATGTCAAAGTTTCAAGTTTCAATGTGGAATCATTGAATTTATAAGTAATATAAGGTTATAAATTCAATGGTCTATTCATTAGGGTCACTTCGTAGTTCGTTTATTACGTTTTAACGTGTTTTCCCAATTTTCGTTTTTTAGGAATTACAAATTGCAATGGGTGGTTTATTTTGCAATGAAAACCTTGTGTTTGTATCTCCTTTAGCTTTTACTGTGTTTTCATTTTTATTAAAGAGCGCGCGATAAGAACCATTAGCGCAAGTGCGACAGATTCGGACTAAATTTGACCTTTCATTCTTTAAATATTTATGTTGCATCGACGGACTTACAGACTGAATTCATTCTGTGCCCATAATAAAGTGGAGTATGTCCATATACCTACCTCTTATATACCATAATTTACAGAAATACCATTGTTATGCAATAATTTAATTTGATTTTACGTACATACCTATTGGTTGCTTAGCTTTTACAATTGAATGGGGTCACACACAAAATGACTAACCATTTGTCACCCATAGTCACTAAAGACTTTATTCTCGAGTTCATTACCTACATTAGGCAACCGCTCAAGAATTCTTGATTTATTCTGTGAGTAGGTGACTGATTAAATATTACCAAAGAGTACCTATACGAGCACATTTGATATTACCTGTCCATTTGCTTGCCGAGACAAAGTTGACCCCAATACATTGTAGCAAATGCATATCGCAATTCGCAACCACTTGAACATAGTACCATCTAACAGAAAATTAAAGGATCCCAAATAGTTTCATTTTGTTAATATTTCTTTCAGTGGATACAGTGAAGGTCGATCATGCATTACTTACGACGCCATCAATCAAGCCTATTTAGAAGCAAGGAAAAGATTTTGTAAGTGATTGATTATAGTTTAAACAACACGACCATAAAATTCTCTTACAGCGGTTGCGAATCCAATTGGCGAGTGGAAGCCGGAACATGTGAAAACCGTCGGAGAAGTTCTTCTGGACATTTCTATTAATCTTGCGAGGACGTAAGTGCATCGATTCTCAATCAAAAATGAGAAACTAATTTGAGTTATAGGTACGGTTTAAGTTATGAAGATATCGAAAAGGGTTTACCCTTAATCGATACATCACGAACACTGATAAGTGAAATTTGTCCTCCTTACCTCGCTAATGTTGAATGTCGGGCTGGAAAATACAGGAGATTTGATGGACTTTGCACCAACTTGGAGCATCCGACGTGGGGCGCTACAAATACTCCATTTACGCGGTATGTAATTGTAATACATTATGTGTTATTTAATTCTATACAATTTCTGACAGTCACCTGTTTTTATACTAGACGACGTCTAGCTATCGATCTTTATCAAAGGTAATGGTTTCCAAAGGCGCATCTGGTTTTTTGAATAACAATCTTTCAAATCGGAGGATTCGCTCAGAGAAGTCAGTTTTTCGATTTCAATAATTTCTCGAATTGTTTGTTCCAGATTTGTGGACTTTTTGTTTCAGAAAAACCTCAAATTTTTTTGGGGTTCAACTTAACATTAACTCGATCACATTTTCTAGCGCTTTGGTTTATGCTTAATTTGTGCTGATTGATGGAATATGCACAAATTTTGTGCGCTTTAATTCGAAGAAACTCATTAAGATTGATCTTACTTGAATCCTACTTATGCCTATGTTATAGTTTTGGTACATTTGTGCACCTTTTCCTAAGTTTTGTAAGCTCCTTGTTTCCGAAATATTTTTCTTGGAACATTTTGAACTTATTGTAGGGGAGCTAGCACGAAATCCACTGAACGAGAATGATCAAAATTTTAACCGATGGAGTTCCATTTTGCCCTATCAGAGTATGCTAAAATCGATCGTCTGCCGCCTCAGGTCATACGACTTAAGGCGCTGCGGGTACTTCTTGTGGTACCAATTCTGAAAGGTTGTTTTTCGAGAAAATAACTTATACACCAAATGAAAACGTTGATAATAGCTCTTAAAAAAATATTTTAAAAAATCGCGCACATTTGATAACTCCGTAAAAAACAATTCTTAGTCGGTTTTTCACGAACTTTCTACGGTTATAACTAGGTTACTGTCGGATAAATGAAGCTGATTTTTTTTACAGACTATAATGATGGGCACAGCCAATGGCTATGAGAGTGTTTCTTTTTTAAATTTTTTCTCTAATTATAAGATATCTTATAATGTTAAGATGATAAGATAATCTTATAATTAGAGAACAAATTTAAAAACGAACCACCGTTAAGTCATTAGTAGTACCTATCATCAGTCTATAGAAAAAATCAGCTTCATTCGTCTAACCGTAACCTAGTTATATCCGTAGAAAGTTCGTGAAAAACCGACTAAGAATTGTTTTTTTACGGAGTTATCAAATGTGCGCGATTTTTTTAAATATTTCTTTAAGAGCCATTATCAACGTTTTCATTTGGTGTATAACTTATTTTTTCGAAAAACAACCTTTCAGAATTGGTACCGCAAGAAGTACCCGCAGCACCTTAAGTCGTATGACCTGAGGCGGCAGACGATCGATTTTAGCATACTCTGATAGGGCAAAATGGAACTCCATCGGTTAAAATTTTGATCATTCTCGTTCAGTGGATTTCGTGCTAGCTCCCCTACTATTAGGTAACAATTTTATGCTTGCTCTGTGGGTGAAATGTACGTCGATACTGATTACTGTTTGTCCCTTTCCTTTCGCAGGCATTCAATACCCCTATTGTCTATCTTGGAGCATGTGCACATTACCGTCGCCATGCTTTCACCTGGGTGTGCTGTGCTGTATTCCAGTGACGTATCGACTAACGTTTTTTCATGGAACACCAATACTTTATTGCAAATACTTGAAAAGTGCCTATTTTTATATTTAACTTTAGCGATATTGGTATTATAACCTTTTCTTCGTCAAAATGGGACTGTTTTTCGAATTACTTGAAAAAAAATTAAATCGTGCCGGGCACTCGGCGACTAAGTTTTGCATTGAGGTAGAAACTAACTACTACACACATCTTCCATTTTACATAATTTTTTACTTTATCGAAAAAATCAAATTTTTGATTCGCCTTTGCCAAATTTAATAGTTTTTTTAAAATTTTAAATGACACTACTAAACACAAATCATAGATCTGGATAGTCGAAAGTATGCCAGGGATCTGTGCCCCTGCGTCATCATTTATATTTTATGGTGTAATATGAAAAAAGCTAGTCAAATTATGTCCGTAATAATTATATGTATAATATCCTTGAATGATAATGTATGCTCAGAGATGGCGGCAGCGGCGCTAAAAATCTTATTGACATTACGAAGTTTTGTTATGCTGTGAATTATCTGACGAATTTGTAAAGCGCAATTAATGGTCGGCAAAATATCTTAATCAAGTGCTCGAGACTTGATTTTTTTGACCATCCTGACAGATATGCCTAGGGCGTTAGCTACACGCTGTAATTCTACGATCATATACACTGGAGTGTAAATACTAACTACGTACCTCTTGGACACAGGCAACAAAGGTGCGCCATTTTCTTTCTCTTTTTCAAAATACTGCAGAAGGTTCAACACAAACTGCTGTGATTGTGTGTGTAAGGTAGCCATCGCAATGGGTATTACCCAATCGGTACAAAAAATAGGTAGGTGTATGAAGTAGGTAAAATAACTCACACACGAAATAGTTCTAAAAAGAACTGTTGTCGACACTATGTAATAAAAGCGGAAAAAAGGTAAATGGAAAGAATCAAACAAAATGCAGTGACAGATGAACGAAATGAGAGGTTATGTATGTCGGTCAACAAAACAATCACGTAGCTAGTCAAATGAGTATCCAATTTTATAAACATGAGAAACAGGAGTCACCTTATTTTCATCGGTGTTCTCTTTTCACCGCATTGAATCCATTAATAGCGTACGTCGAACGCGTGAAATGCACTTTATTTATGATCTATCCTTGTTTGAATTGCGCGGTAATGAAATGGCATTATCAACAAGTTAGATGTTGCTTGATTCGTACGTTGATGACGCAGGGGCACAGATCCCTGGCAAGGA